CCCGAGACACGGGAGAAAGTTCTCGAGATGTGTGAAACCCGGTGAATGCCCGTCATTGTCTTACGAAGACGCGTGTAACAATTACTAGAAAAGGGACTTTGCTTCGAATCGAATTTTCTATTATAAACAATAACGGAAATTGTGTAACGAATAAAAAAAATAGGCTGTAAGAATCAATAATCCGAAGTAACAGTAATTAGTTGCAGTCCATTAACGATTAATCAACATTATCTCGCAATCTTGTTTGAAAAAGTAAAAAATAAAATAATGATCAAAAGTAGGAAAAACGAATTTTTGCTTCGTTGTAAAATATCAATATTAAAAGAATATTAATAGAATTGGAATTATTCAATTTATTTGGAATAGTATCGAGTATTCTACTACTTTCACCACACTGGATACTGGATTAAACGATTCGATTGATCGTTGAGCGATTCGATAAACAGTAACGAGAAAGTTATTCAGTAACTCGATCCAAATTCATTTTTATTCAGATAGATAAATTTTCAATCAAATATTCAACATTCGATGTAAAATGAATAATCAAAGATGATTATTAATCGTGCGAAGGACACGCTGTTCGATCGAGAAACATTGGTGTTAAACGCAAAAAAAAATCGAGAGAATCGTCGTTGCGAAAGTAGGCCGACGCGCACTTTTTAGATCCAGCTGCTGCGAGAAACGCGATGGTCTGATCACAGAAAGTCCGTTTTCACTTACACTCGCGGCTCTCTGTATCGCTCAATTAAATGTAATGAAAAATTCGATCGATTCTTATTTGTATTAACACGCGATAATGTGACGAGACAAATGTGTGAGACAAATATAAACGGCACTTAAATCGTTTATTATGTATAAGCATTCTTCACGCGGACGCGCTGTGTTATCGTCCGCCACTCGGACGGTAAAGTTGTTTAATTTATACGAGCGATTGCTACCGACCGCGCATTCTCGCTTTAACGACACGATAAACAAGCATCGTGGTTAACGTTCGGGATGGAACGATTCATCCTTGTGGGAGGAAGAAGGCAAGAAAAACACGAGGTAGAGGGAAAAGGAAAAAGAAGAGACGAAGGAGGATGGAGAAAAGGAAGAGAGAAAAAAGAGTAAAAAGTGCGGTAATGGGACTCACCGTGCGCAACCAGGAACAGCAAGAGTAACGAGAGAGCCTGGGACGACACCATTTCTGCGACTTGTCTTCTGCTCGGCCTTGGACAAGACCAATTCGATTAACTGGAAATTGCTCGAATTTCGATCCGGTGGCCTGGAATCATCCAAAGGTGGGGCTGGAAGCGTGAAGCGGATTCTTATAGGTACCGAAGAAGCTCGGCTGATGAGTTTTCGTGTCGAGACTGGTCACTGGGAGAGGCGTTTGGCTTCGTGTCTTATATGAGCTCCCCACTCTTCCGGCAGGTCCGATCTCTGGCGCATAGGAAGGCCTCCCTCGAGAACACACCTGGTTTCTTCTATCGAGGACTACGTCGCGTACTTACTACTCTCGTTAAGTATCCTCCTCTCGTCGATGATACTTTGGAAATATCTTGGAAAACAAAACATAGTTGGTGACTCTCTCGTTCAGAACGCTGTCCTTTGTCCTGCTTTTTACTCGACCGGCATTTCTATACGTGGAATGGATACACAGCAGGTAAAAGGAGGTAATTCATAATACGCGGGATATTTGTGGAATTGAATGGGGAAATTATGAAAGTGATTTTTCTATTTTCTAAGAATTATTGAAATGTTTCTGTGTCGTATCGTTGAAAATGGATCAATAACGGAATGAATTTCACTTGAATTACGTTAAATATTAAACGATTGTTAATAATAATTTTTGTTTAATTGTAAAATTAACTCAAAAGATTTTAAATATTAAGTTCATTTTATATAATTTTTCAGAAGTGATTAGATTTGATGTCGAAGTCACACGCAGATCCGCGGTTTCATTGTACGTGATTTAGCAAAGTAATTGAATTTGATGTTTCACGCTCGGATACTTCGCTGGGACAAATTGCCTCTATCGTCATACCCGATCGTATTTCACTTCCGTTTTCTTTTTTCCTTTTGTGCGACCAAATATGCAGATATCCTTCCTGCTTTCTATGCCATCTCTCAAAGCTATTTTTTTTCACATTATTTTGAGGAAAATCGATTTTATAAAATTACAATTAACAAAATATCCTAGAATTTTTTTCTATTATAAACAAATATTAATTGAATAATTAGATATAATTAATAAAATTATTAATGTAATTAATTCAATTGCAAATATTATAGGAACGAAATTGTATCTTTCAGAGCATTCGATCTTCAAAATTGGACGTTATATAAGATTAAATAGAATTGTTATGATAAACAATTTTTTATTATCTCGAAAGCGAATTATGATCGATATAAAATTACTTCTAGAACAATTTCTCCTTGTTAAATCAGAAATTGTGATAAACTGATTCAAATAAAAGAAAAAATTGTGTCTTTTGACAAATTTTATTTTAAATTTTAACAGAACCGGCCTATTTATTTGCAGTTTCGAGAGAAGACCTTCACGGTTTCTTTCACCGTATCGAGTCGCTTCGTAACTCGGTGAAAATCGTGGTGAAACATACTCTTGATCATTGGATGAAAATCACTGGCATTCATCTTCTTTTCACATTGTCGTCGCGCTTTTGTGTTGAGACGGAAGTGGATAAACGGTCCCGTAATATCTACGAGGTATGATTCATAGTTAAGACAATTTAAATTTTCATAATAATTTTCCGTGCAAATTAATTATTTAATTTATATTAAATATAAATTATTAAAATTGTATTAATTATTTTTTTTTTCTCTTCAGAATTTTGTTTTCTAAACGATTTTATGAAGTGGAACAATCGAAATGGTAAATATAACGTTAATTAATGAATTTCTAATTTCACGTCATTTTATTTAAACAGAATGATCATTAAATATAGCGCAGTAATAATTTTACTTACTAATCGCTCTTGTTCATTAACAAATAATAATAAAAAATATACTTTCCCCGGTATGCTTAACAATTCGCAGCAATTCTTTTAAATTATTCCATTATCCGTTTCTCAGACTTGTTCTCTATTTGCAAAGGCTTGTGCAACTAAGTGAATCGTATTAAACATAACGTTTAAGTTAATTATTAATTCCACGCGAACGAATAACAAAGTAGTTTCTCCTTCCTTTCCATTCTACCTCTCTCACTCCTTTCACTCCTCCATTCTCCGCAACCAACCCTACAAAAAAATTTTGAAAAATTTCACTCTCACGATCAAAATTGTAAATATTCAAACTCGGGAGGAGAATTTTTTTCAATCTTAATTGTCATGATCATTGATATTAATTATTCCCTTTTTTTCTGCAAGACCAAATATAATAGAATTGTTTAAAAAGCAAATAAAAAAAAAAAAAAAAAAGAAAACGCAATTTTTAAGAAATGTTTAAAGCATCAACGAGAAAGATATTTATTTATCAGACGCGAAAGTTACACGATATCACCAAGGCTATCTGCCACTTTCTCATAGAATCGAACACAGTTTCAGTTTCTCAATTTGCATAGAGAACAAAAAAGAGAAGATTTCGCAAGGAGCCGAATATTGTACTATTTCCCGGAAGAAGGAAACACTCGAAGCTCAAGCACGATATTCAACGAGGATTCTCTCGCTTTGTTACCTCCCTTTATGTAAGGAGGAACTAAGGACAGCTTGTTACCATCAGATGAAAGATTATCGCACGGTGGGAATGGTCACAAGAGGAAACGAGACACCTGTGAATAAAAACAATGGCCGCCGCGTTTCGAAAGTCTCTCGCGTTTGTTTACCCCCCTTTTCCACCCTCGATCTCCAGTCCAACAATTACTCGTTATGCTCGTTAATTAATCAATTGATTCACACCTTAACGCAGTGTTGAGGTTATGACTGAATTGAACGACGACTCCTTTGTTAAAATAACTGAATAAATGATAAAGTTCGAGATTGTTGCAATATATTTGTTGGATTTCGTATGTGATGAAAATATTTTATACAATTTTATTGTAAATTGTGAGATGATAGAAAACAAGTTTGAGATCTGTTGAAAATATTGTTGAGAAAATATATTTTTATGTACCAATGTTATCGACAATGTTGTATATACGATTATGCAAATTGTGGGATAATTGAAAAATTATCTTGTCGAGAATATTATTAAATTACGATGATTTCTTATCGGCTGCTTCATTATAGAAGATCGTGCCCGTGTTGATAGATTAATGGAAGGATGTCTGGTCTTATCTCATCCCGTCGGGCAACAGGATTCAAGATTGTCGCATTAACAAGACGTTTTAATTAATTAAGGATGAGACGACGTCGTATTCTCTTTGTGTATTCTCTTGTTTACGAGATATTGTTGTCGAGATAACGATCAGTCATTTGATTAATTTGCTTTGAAACGTTTAACACGTTTAAACATATTGTTATCATAACCTCTTTGACAATTATAATATAATATAATATAATATTTATATGTAACAATTATAACATAATTATAATATAATATATATACAGTTTCAGTA